AAGCAGGGGTGCCCAATCCTGGTCCTGGAGGGCCGGTATCCAGCAGGTGTTGTGGTTTCTCTGCTCCAACACACTTGATTCAGAGGCTGAATCACCTGTGCGGCAGTTCATCAGGCTCTACAGAAGCCTGTTAATCACCTGCTGATTGAATCCAGGTGTGTAGAAGAAGGGTTACAACTAAAAGCTGCTGGATACGGCCCTCCAGGACCAGGATTGGGCACCCCTGTGAAAAAGCATAAACTTAATTTCACCTTGATATAAAGAACAGGATGTGATATTACAACTGTGTTAACCCTAAGAAGTGAATGGTCGGGGTGTTTTTAGTGCCTTTCCTGGGATTTAATATATCTCCAGATGGCAGGGAGCTAAAGGAGGGGTATTTGGATGAGATAGGAATTCCTCGCTCAACGCTGGTGTTAGAAGGAGCACTAGGAAAGCTGTAATTAATTTCTGGGCTGGTGCCTAATTACACCTTAGAAAAGCACATCTATTAAGGATATGAAAAAGAGACCCAGGAAGGTAATTGAAGGAAAATTCCAGACCTTTGATAGGATGTTGACACAGGAAGACCAAGACATGTTTATAAGTCTGCTGGACTTGACATCTTACCCTCATCTTTGTTTAAAAGTGCTTTTCAGTCCATCGGTCCCAGCGTGCTCTCTATAATTAATGCTTCTCTGGTCTCTGGTCAGGTCCCTGCTTACTTTAAGAACGCTGTAATCCACCCGCTTCTTCAAAACCGAGTCTCGACCCCTCTCTCCATAGCAGCTTCAGACCCATCTCTAAACTTCCGTTCATCTCCAAGATCTTGGAAAAGGTTGTGGCTAAACAACTCACAGCTGCTCTTGATGAACATAACATCTATGATAGCTTCCAGTCAGGTTTTCGTAGAGCTCATTCTACTGAAACAGCTCTTCTTAGGGTCTCTAATGACCTTCTGACTCACAGTGATGCAGGGGACTGTTCTGTTCTGGTCCTGCTGGACCTGACTGCAGCCTTTGACACTGTTGACCATCACCTGCCACTGGAGAGGCTGAGAGACTGGGTAGGCCTATCAGGATCTGCTCTGGAGTGGTTCTCCTCTTATCTCTCTGAGCGCTCCTTTTCTGTGGCCGTCTCCAAGTTTAGGTCCTCCACCACCTCTCTTACCCATGGTGTCCCACAAGGTTCTGTGCTGGGGCCTCTGCTCTTCCTCCTCTATCTGCTTCCTCTTCAGCACATCCTGAGCTCCTTCAAAGGAATCCATCTTTATGCAGATGACATCCAACTGTACATCTCCTTTAAGCCCCATGAGATGTCTAAGCTGCAGCTGTTACACACCTGCTTAGACTCTATCAAAACCTGGATGGTGGGAGCTTTCTTCAGCTGAATGAAGATAAGACTGAGATCCTCATCTGTGCCCCAGACAAGCTGGTTCCCAAAGTCAGAGACTCTCTTGGTCAGCTTGCTTCCCACACCAAACCTTCTGTCAGGAATCTTGGCGTGACCTTTGACCCAGCTCTCACCCGGATTCTCATGTCAGTTCTCTTGTTGGCTCTTCCTTCTTCCATCTCAGGAACGTTGCTAAGCTGAGTCCCATTCTGTCCCGCTCTGAACTTGAGACAGTTCTCCACACCTTCATCTCCTCACGCTTAGACTACTGTAACTCTCTTTTCACGTGTCTGAGCAGAACCTCCCTGAACCGTCTACAGGTGGTTCAGAACGCCTGTGCTCGGCTTCTGACCAAGTCCTCCAAACACACCCACATCACCCCGCTTCTCCTCCAGCTTCACTGGCTGCCAGTCAACTTCAGGGTTCATTTCAAGATCCTGGTTCTGGTCTACAGGGCCTTACATGGACAAGCACCATCTTACATTGGTGATCTTCTTAGACCCTACACCCCCAGCAGGTCCCTGAGGTCCAGTGATCAAAGCCTACTGGTTGTGCAGCACCAGGCTAAAGGTCAAAGGTGACAGATCATTTGCTGCTGTGGCCCCCAGACTCTGGACCTCTCTCCCCCTGAGCCTGAGATCAGTGGACTCAGTGGTCTCCTTTAAAAAGCAGCTGAAGACTCACTTGCTTTCTAAATTCTTTTTTATATTTTTGCATTTCTTGTTTTTGTGAAGCACCTCATGATTTTTATGTTGAGAGGTGCTATAGCAATGATATTTTCTTCTTCTTCTTCTGAGGTATTGCAGATCAAAGGCACTGTCTATAGTGGAAAAAAGATCCAACCACAAGGCTTGCAGTAAGTGTGCAGATATCAGAGGCAGGATGTATTACTTATTTGCACAAATGGAGACAAGAGAGATGCCCGTGTGTGTTTTTTAGGTTCTAAGAATTGGTTGGGACCTGAACTAAGTAAATTTAACCACGATGTACGTGAATTAACAGCACTACTGCACATTTACCCTCGTTTAAGAGGACTAGCTGGAAAAAATTTGATTAGATTCCTGACGGACTCTGATCGTTGATCCAAGGTGTGTCTCAGAAGCTGCTTAATGGTTGAGTATCGTCCTATAGTTATGGGACATGACAGGCAGTGCTGGTGGATCCATAGACCTGCATTGTGAAGAAGGCCAGCAGAACTAAAGATAAAAAAGAGACAACCAGATTTGAAAGTGCAACCCATAGATTTCACATACTATGTATGGATAAAAGAAACCAAACAAAAGCAGGTCAAAGTGGGCTTTTTTTTTTAAGAAAAAGGATGGAGTGACCATGCACCAGAGGTGTGGCCTAATAATAGGAACAGCACAGTGAGCTGAGATATAGCAGTGGTCCAACTGTTATCCCGATGCAGTAACAAAAAACCATTGTTTTTCTGGGATGAGGGATGAGTTGTTGAAATGGCAGAGAAGCTCCTCCCACATGGAAAAGGAAATGTGTTGGCTGATGCAGAAGAGTGGAGGCTGATTGCTCAGATGAGACAAACAATGCATGTAGCAGCTGACCATGTGAATTCGCATAAAGAAACAAGGAACTGATTTCACTGGAAACAGGGAAGCTGGTTCATTGGCTCAAGCAAGGCGTCTGGAGTTGGTTTTGGGTCTGCAGGCTTTAATGGGCATGAGTAAAGCCGAGAGGCAAGATATCCTTGCGGAAAATCCTAAAACCCTAACCCATAAGCAACTGGGTCATGTCGGCACTGCCAGCATTTTGGAGAAATTGAAAGCAGAAAGGGGCTCTTTGGGAGTTCTGCAGCTGGGTGAAGGGATACAAGAAGTGAAGAGGAAGTGTGCTGTGTTTCAGAAGCTTGGCAGAACTAAGGAGAGCGCTTCAATGGTAAACGGCCAGTACAGCACCTTCTTAGGCTTCTACAACCCGCCAAGGCACTTGACAACAAGCAGTCATTCATCCATTCACACACTGGTGGGGATGAACTACGATGAGCTGGCCTCGGGCGCACTGACAGAGGCGAGGCTGCCGAGCACAGGCACCATGGGTCAAGTGTCTTGCCCAAGGACACAACAGCATCATTCTCTGGTCAGAGCTGGGATCGAACCTGCAACCTTCTGATTACTGGACAACCTGCTCAACCTCCTGAGCTGCTGCTGTTTAAGGGATTATCAGATAGGTTATCCGGATGGTTCTTCCATTTCAGCTGATGTGGGAGAGATACCAGGAAGCAAAAAGCATAGCGGTTTCTGACGATTAAACAGGACTGGGGCTCAAAAGGATGGTTTGTTCCCATAAAAGGATGAAGTGCCCCATAATGGCTGAGAAGCTCTCTATTTGGCTGACTGCTAACCCAGAAATAAAAACCCTACGTTCTGTCAACGGAGCCCACTTCAAGAACCAAAAGGTTAAAACACTAACTGAGGAACTAGGTGTAAATCATGCTTTATTATACTCTATAAATCTAATACAAAGAAAGGAGGAAGAGTAGCATAAATGTCCAGCAGACAGCTCAGCTGTTTAGCTGGAAGATGGGAAAGAAGACTCACTGACAATGGTCTTGTCAGAAGAACGCTTGTGCGGTCTCGTCACTTCCGGAACTTCCGCGAGCGCCCTACAGGCTTAGCTCAGCTGACCTGTTTACTTGAATGTAATCAGATTGCTAGCGCATCATCTGGGTGCTTCAGCTCGATTAAGAACCAGTTCTCCTTCAGCCCCACGAACGTGTTTTACATGCAATTAAAAAAACGGCGTGACTCCGGTGTCTCTGCGTTGGTGTTATAGCAGAGCAACGTGTCATCAGTCAGCCTACTGTCTCACTGAGCAGTGCTGTGCTGTGGGCTCCACTCGGCCGGTTAGGGCTGCAGTCAGGTGTTTACCCCACAGCACCCAGGCTGCTAATGAACTGTGCAGGAAGCTGCTGCTGGCTAATTCTACCTGCCAGTCTGAGGCTCCCACTAGTAGTTAGGCTACACTTCAGCCGACCAGTCAGTTGATAGGTGGGTGTGTATGGTTTAATGCACGGACAACATCAATGTAAAGGCAACTACCCTACTACTGCTACTTTATGTGATGCCTGCTTTCTGAGGCACAAGCTAGCAATGTCATTTGCTCAGTGATGTATCACATTCAACAGCACCGTCTGCTTAGCTGTGCTAAACTTTACTTATGGGCCGTTCCCATCTGTACCGGGTCGGCCCGGGCCGGGTAGCCCCAGTCGGCCCCAGCCTGGCCCGGTTGATTCCACACATCCTTGCCTTAAGCCCATGTGGGCTGATTCTACCCACCAATCAGAGGCTTGCTCTAATGGAAGGTGTGAATTTGCTGTCAGCAGTGGGTGTGTTGGCCCTGGTCGGCCTGAAGCAGACCCCCTCGAGAAGAGGGCTGAGAATGAGCCTCGGTTGGCCCGGAAAAATACCAGGCCACCCAGATATGTAAACAACCTACGCTGCCCGGCCCGGGCCGACCCGGGTACAGATGGGAATGGCCCATTAGATTTTCCTGAATTTCTAAGCTGCTAAAAACATAAAGAAAAACCATTAATTCCTGGCTGGGTGTAAATGTACCTGGTGTTTGCACCAAATTAACTGTCAGTGATGGAAGTCATCAAATCCTGCACTCACCCCCTCCACTCGGTGATAAGGCCCATCACTGTTCTCAAGGGAGAGCAGGACTCCATTCAGGGCCCAAGTGAATGTGAGGTCCATTGTTGGGTCATGGGAAGCGTGACACTGCAGTGTGGCGTTCTCTCCCTGGTTGATGTCAGCATTGGAGGGAGCTAGCGTGATCTTAGTGGCGTCTGAAAGGAAATAAAAGCTGGCATAAATGTTTGCTGGGACCCAAATAAAAAGATAGTATAAAGTTGTGGAACTGATGCTTCTGTTAGGGAAAACAAACACTGGAACAGGAAGGCAGCTGAAGAACAGCAGAACAGAACAGTGAGAAGTTCTGGGAATTTCTTAAGCCCATTCCGGTTCCAGGGCCCTCATTCATTAAACGTTCGTAGAAAAACTCCAATATTCCTCTCTAGGAATGAAGTTTAGAATGTTCGTATGAACGGTTAAAATCCTGATTTATGAAACGTGCGGTTGGCCTCTCGTGCGCACGCTCCTCTGCAATCGTCTGATGATAAATCCCACCTGTGCGTACCCCAGGTGCTCGTGTCCGTTCTCAGTCGTTTACATACAGGAACGCTAATGCTACGCCCTCAGCACGTGAGGCGATTCCCTTCGTTCTACCTGGAGTAAAGAAAGAAAACTTTGTGGCGAGATCGAGACCCTGGCTGCCGAAGTGCAAAAGAATCAAACAAGTTGCAGAGGTTCCAAACGCGGTCGGGACAGATGAGAGGTATGCATGATGTCAGGAATAAATTAAACTTTAATATGATAGGATTGGATGTCTGAGAGTGCAGCCTCTTCTGAGCTGCTAGTCAGTCTGGTTGCCCTGGCAATGCGTGTATGATCGGAGAGCAGAGGAGGTTCTGATGGGTTCTCATAGTTGTAAAATAGAACGTGGACTGGAATGAGATTTGGGAGGTTTATCTGTCGCTCCATGGAGGTCCCGACTCATGGCAAAGGTTCAGAAGACACGGAACATGGAGAAAGTAAAAACAGTGATTAAAAATAAACACAAAACCAGCCATGCTACAATGTCTAATCCCCGTCGGTCACAGGCGTCTTTTACAGGTTTTAGCACCAATTATGTCACACTATAAATTAAAAATATCTATTGGGTAAAACAGTGTTCAGAATACTGCTCTTTGTTTTTAAATCCCTACATAAATTGGCTCCTCTGTGCATTTGTGGAAAGTCCCGCTTGCATCGTGACCTTTCAGATGAAGAGGCGACCATCAGAATGAAGGAGCTCCACTCCGGTGCTCCGGGGTTCACGGTCTATGTTTGAGCCGGGCCGTGGGGGGAATGTACGGAACAGCCACCACCGATCTCCTTTACCCAACCGTTTTGGCGCCCTGGAGCTAGAGTTCCCTCCTCTTGCAGCCCGGGGAGCCTCGCACCTCCAGAGGACCGCCACCCTCTCAGCGGTCAGCGCAGCAGTCAAACTCCTCGTCGTGCCAAACTCTGGGCTGCACAGGCCCCTGACGGTGTTATATCCTCTGCCCAGCTTTAACCTGCACACCCATCATCAGCGACTCCATCATTCGTCATGTAAAGATGAAAGGAGCCCTCACTGTCCGTTTCCCTGGAGCTACTGTGATGGACACTGTTGGTAAGATCTTGCAGCTCCTTCAACTTCATGACTGTGAGTTAGAGTTGGAATTCACTAACTTGCTTTAGTAAATCCTTACTTTGGTTAAATAAATCAGTTGTTGAACCCCCACTCCTCTGTTTGGTCTCCTTTCTTATTACAGCCCACCACTTCCAGTCTGGGTTGTAACAATCTGCAGACAGATTTCTGAGTATCTCCTCCTTTGGTACACAGATCCTCACTGAGCCAAGTACTGTGAACAAATAGTTTCTCCATGATATTATCCAGCAAGGTCCCGTTTTTGTCAAAACAAGGGTGAGGTAATGAAAAAATAGAAATATTTCAATAAATTAA